AAAATTCAGTTGAGATAACTTTTTCATGGGGTGATCAATTGCTATGATTGTAAGAATAAGTAACTGAAAAACTACCACTGAAAAATAATATACCGACGCCTATGTCGAGGCGGAAATTCCTACTCTGTGCTGTTCCAATTGGTATTGGAAATACTATATATACCTATACATACAAAATATCACAGAGTTTTTTATACAGGGCTATTCAAATTCGTTTCTGTACATGGGATCTCGTAAACGTTCGGTTGGTGGCCCAAGTCACATGACACCCTGTATAAAAGATTCATGGATATATTCCGAGAGCCCACGTCATGGCCAATAGCAAAATGTGGACAGATTTTCAATATATCTGCGAATAAAGAAGATATAGGCAAAAAAATAATTTGGGATTTTTTGGCTTTTCCTGAATATCTCCAGAACTAAAAGAGCTATATTTGATTTTTTTACATCATTGAATAGGTCTCTAAAATATGCAACTTTGTCATAATTCAACCGACACTCTATCTCTTATCGTTTACGAGATCCCCATGTACAGAAAAGAATTTGAATAGCCCTGTATATAAAACTGTTGCTCTTTGTGAATTTCATCAGTTCGTATTTCCATTGTCAACTATGATTTTACAATGATTCGAAATCAGTCGTTTTGTGTTGTTGTTGTACAGTGACGGCTCGAGCATTGGTGAACAGGGGAGGCTAAAGTCATAAAGACTATATACATACAGAAAAGCCCTCCGGAGGCGCGAAAATTCTTTGGGGTACCGCACGTAATATCTGCATAAATGCAAACAAAAATTGTGTATTGCCGAAAATTATACGTATATAACTGATCATTAAAAAAACAAAAACACGGGAAAAGGGTTGTCTTTGAGTTATTTAATATAAATCATTTTGAATTTTTCATTTTTAAACATAAAATTCAATAAATCTGAAGGAGACTTGCAATTTGGAAACATTTGTGGGTCGCTGTACATTACGATCAATTCATTTTTCAGTTGAATAACATCGAAAAACGGATACTGAGCTATTAAGTTGTTATAAAGTTTTTGGGGAAAATCTTTGGTATTGGACGAAAATTTTTCAAACAACAAAAAATCGAAGTAGATTGATTTACGTAAATCTTCAAATCTAACTTTGATTTGCATTAAAAAGGTGTCCAATATTTCATTATAAATCTGTTTATAATTTTGTACTCAAATCGGTTAAGTCTAAATTGGTTTTTCGGCGCCGGCGGTTCGAGAGTTACATCAATTGATTCGAAAATATTATTAAAAAATGTATCGTCATTTCTTTAATTCATCAAAATTTCGGTTAAATTGTTTAACCGTTGTTTTGAGTGATTAATATCTATTGATTTATTTTGAAGAATAGAAAAAACAACATCGGTATGTTCAAATATTAATTTAAATATTTCTAACAAGAAACAAAACTTGTGATCATTTAAAATATATTTGAAACCTCTCGCCTCCCTAAGACTTTGGTCGTCGGTTTTAAAATC